GTTGTTTCTGTCTAAGTGGAATAATTAAACATCAATGCAATACTTAGAATTTGGATCCCAAAATTGCTAAATGATTCATTCACAAAGATTTTGCAATTACCAGCAGAACTCAAAACAACATATTAAGCATAAATATGGAAATAACTAAACGATATCAATATAATTTTCTTATACCATTTTTCATACTACTTTGCCGATGATCCTTGCTTCATCCTTTGCTCATAGAATTCATAGGTCGGTTATCAGTAAGAATCCTACTTCAATTTGACTGCACTAATTTTAGTGATGTAAAATTTTGAATATTAATTACATATTATAATTTTTTGAATAATAATACATACTCTATGGGCGTACCGGAGGTGTAAAATTAATTATTTCGTTTTCGAATCAGAAAACTAGTAAAAATCGAACTTAGATTAGAAAATGTTAATAGCAGCAGAAAGCTGTCCCAATGTTGTGCCCCTACTCCATTATTATTTTCACGATAACATTTTACGATATCTATTAGATATAATATCTTCAATAATTTAGTTTCTTTTTTAATTTTAAAAAATTCCACGTCTTGAACTTTTATTAAAATACTTTAATAAATTAATTAGTCTGATGAATCATTTTTCCTTACCATTTCCTTGGCCTACTTACTACTTACTTGCCGAACGTACACAAAGTCATATTGATACACCTTGGCACTCACTCATATAAGGACGACTCGTGTTTTGTTTTTATTTTTTTTTTGTTTTTTTTTTTTTGCAAAGTACAAAATTGGGTTAATCAAATTAATTGCGCTATCACGCCTCAAATGACAGACAAGCTTTTTAAATGGGCGTATTTGCTTTAAGTATCTGCGCGCGTGTTTGTACTTTCATGATTTTTTTACAGTGCACACTCACACATGCTTTGCTGCTGTTAGTTAACAGTTGTCAAAAATGATGTCATTTGTCAATGTACAGAGATATCATTTTAACAGATTTTCTTACTGGGAACTTCACTACTATTTGCAAAATTTGAAAGGACAGTGATCAGGGAACACATGCTATATGATTACTTTTGAATTACTTATGATTGGTATTTTTTTACTTTGATGTGCTTTCTTAAGATACTCAATATTTAACTTAAACCAAAAAATTAAACGCATTGAATATTAGAATTTCGTTGATTTTAAAATATTTTTTGTATTGTTTCTCTTTCATTCATGGCCATTGCAGCCAATCAGGAACGGGCGATTTTGTACGCACAGTATCCTTTGCTAATCAACGGCATTATTTACATAATTAGGTAAAGAATAAATTCTAATTCAAATTTTTGTATGTTTTTCTTATATGCAAACCAAATTACGTAATTACGACTGTTTTTAATATAAACATGCTATCGTCTTAAAAGCTTTGTGTGCTTTCTTCCATTATCGAATTTATTTTGGCGCAATAAAATTATTTATATAATTTTTACCATACATTTTAATTATAGATCTTAGAGAAATGCTTTAGTAAAACGAAACACTCAAAACGTATCGAATATACACGCTTTTTAGATGTGGTAATCAGTATTAAAAATATTTAAATGATATAACGTTTTTAAGAGCTTTAAAGTTAAGCTTTGCCTCAAGTTCATATAAAAAATCTTTAATACGGATCTTTATATATAAATATGTAGTGAATAACAATTGGAGTAAATAAATATTGCAGGAAAGTATTTGTCACGTGCACAGTGTACAAGCACAAAAACTAAAAATAAACTCAAAGCCTTTACTTTAAATTATATATCCTTTCAACCATTAACTGAACCTTAAAAGCAATCTCGCGTATTTCTCTCAAGCTTTCATACTCAATTGAATTAACTTTTCTGTGCTTCATACACATACATTGAATAATCTTGGCAAAAGGTTTTACACTTACAGCTCTTTTACACCACTCAAAGCTTTTTAGCGACGAAAGCTTTACCGACACTGGCTTAAAAGTTTTGAGCTTGTGACAAGGGCTATGTCGTTAATGATTACACATTTCAATGTTTAAAATAAATAAATAAATATATTAATTTAGTATCGGACCATTAAATTTAAAATTATTTTAATTGTAAGCAAATTTCATATAAAAAAATTATGTTACACACAAGCTTTAATAAAGCTTTTAGCAGCTTTTATAAATTTTATATAATTAAGTCAAAATTGATAACTTCAACTTTTTTGTATATGTAAACTTATTTCAAAAACTATAAACAATGACGTGCCAATTTTATTTTGTTTTTTCTTATATTTCTAGTGCCGCCTATTAGGATTTGTAACTGTTACTGCATTATGCAACCCACTAGTTCATAAGCTTACAATTCTAGCAACAACAATACAAAAGATATGAAATCAAACCGAAATTTCGTCTCATTCCAAAAATGTATTTCAATGTTTTTTATGAATTTTGTCACTGAAAGAAAAGCATTTAATTGTGTTGCAAAAGTGATCTGATCAATTAAATATTCCAAAGTGAGTTCAAATAAAGCTTTAAAGCTTCTCGCAATTAAAATGCTTCTTTTACAAAATTTAATATATGGAAAAAACTGTTTTCTGTTTTATTGAAGCATTTTTATAAACATTAATTCTCAATTTTAAACTTGCTGCTTTCAAAGGCTTAAGCAATATCTTTATTTTTATATACAATATATATGTATAGCTTATAGCTTTGAGCTTTTTCCTTATATGTTTCAGGAATGAAATATTGGTTTTCTTTTGCCTAACAACAAATTTTTAAAATATTATTTATACTAATTTTTTTTATAGGTTCTTATCCATCATTAAAAGAACTAGTATCTAAAATGTATATATATACAAGTATCGTATATCAATCACTAACCATTACATTGTATATTCAACGGACTAAGTCTTTAAAGTGTTAAGGCTCTTATAACAAATGGAAAAATCTAAAATTTATTGAAAAACCTATAGAGATTTATAGAAAAACTACAAGTAAAAATGAGGAACTGGCACATCACCTGTGACTATTTGCTTATATCTCAATCCCTTTGCACCCAGTTTATTTGTATGTGGTAAACATTCTCATAACTTCAACAGGTCTGAAGGGAATCGGTGTTGCGAATGAAATAATATTTTTGATTTTTTAATGGCTAATTATATTAAGTAAAATAAAGCAATTTTCATAGGTCCCCCATTCTATATTTTCCCTCTTCATTATTTTGACTACTTTATTTATTAAATTTCCATTTGTTATAAGAGTAAATATATTCTCGTGAATCTGTTTCTGTACAAAATCTAATCAGCTATTTTTGTTATGTTTTTTATTCACCATTCCGTATTATACATCCCTTATATAATATTTATTCTACCTATACTTATGTTTATCTCGCTTTCTATTCCTTACTTATATCCGAACTTTTAACCTTCTTTAAATAACTTTTCTTTCTAATCCTTTCTACCTCAATATCGTGATACTCTATTTTGCTATCTATTAAGAAATTTAAGCAAAGAACTTTTAAGTTCTTTCTTCTCCTTGTAACTATCTATCTATTTTAATAGGTTCACGTTTCTTTGCTCTATCTCTCTTTATTTTATGTGTCTTTCATTTGTCCGCGCATAAATAATTTTCTTATGATAAATATCTTCTTATCTTCTAAAAAGGAATTAGAGATATTGAATTGCTCCAATTTCCCAGTAATAAAGATTTTAAAATAATCTTATTATAAAAATTATTTTTATTATACCTTTCAATTTTTTGTTTTCTTTGTTGTTCACTCTCTTTATATATCCCAATTTCACTGACTACATGTAACTTTTCTTGTTGCGACTCTTTTTATCTTCTCTAGCACTCCTCTATATTTCTCTGCGTCACATTTTTCTCCTATCTTTTTTAGTCTTATTCTCATTCTCACTCTTCTTTTTCTCATACCTTCATTTTTTATCTCCCTCGCCCACTCTCTTTTTCTCACTATATTTTCTACGAGCCACTTTCTATCTTAATCTCTCACTTTCTTTTTATCTTTCTCAATCATAATCTCACTTTCAGTCTTTTCTATCTCACGCTCTCTCTATTGTCCTCTTTTTCTTTTGCTCGCCGAACCTCTACTTCTCTCTTTCTTTTGCTCGAACAACCTATTTCTTTCTCTCTTTCTCTCTCTCTATTTTCTACTAGTCACTTTCTATTTCTCTCAATCTTAAACTTATTTTCACTCCTTGATTTTTGACGCCCTCTCTTTTTCTCTCTCTCATTTTTCTTCATTTTCTTTCTATTTAAAACGAGTCACTTTCTGTTTTAATCTCTCACTTTCTTTTAATCTTTCTTTCTTTTCTCTCTCTACTTTCTACGAGTCACTATCTTTTTCACGTACTTCTAAAGATTGTAGTTATAAAATTACCGGATTTCTTACAGAAACAGATACATCGATCCTAAAACAATAAATAATTAAATTTCTTACTACTGTTACTATTAGTCTTTCTTCAGGATGGGGTAAACTTTGGTTAAATATTAAAAAAAAAATTTTCTTTTCATAAACTATTATTTGCGCTGCCATTTAACAGAATATCATTTATTTAATTAATACTATTAACTTATATCATAAAAAAGGTTTTAAGAATATAGCAAAATTTTTGTTTAAATAATTATTATGTAAAAATATTTTATTTATTTTAAAAACAAATAAATGTTTTAGTATATATAATAATAAATATAAACAAATCTACATTATATTGTATTAATTAAATAACTTTTTAAGTAAAATGATACTAATTTTTGCTCTTTTTTCTTTCTCTTTTTTTATTTCTTCTCTTCTCGTTTTCGACAATACCAAAAAAAAAAATAAATAAAAATGAAATAAATTAAAACCAAAATCGATTTCAATACAAAACAAAAACCAACAAAAATTGTTTTTTTTATTTATTTTTATTACATTATTTTTATTTTGGTAAATAAAATTTTAATGTACGAATTTTGTGCCCGCATCCGTAAACCGTAATTCGTAAATATCGTATATACCGCATCCGCCATTTTACACTAAACCAATAGTTACTGGACACCCTCCCGGTGTGCCAAGATTTCAATAGATCAATGTGCAGTCGGTTAAATTGTAGATTCGTTCATTTAACTGAAGGTAAGTGCATGCTATTATAAATTTATTTTTATAAATATTATTTTACTTAATTATTTCATAGAATTTTTTTTGTTGATTTAAGCTTCTTAGATGATTTTTTATAATTTTTGAATATAATAAAATATACACATATGATCTTTATATAAGTGCTTTTAGGGGTTAATATAGAAATTATATTATGATCGCTTTTTTTATTTTATTTGTAAATACTCGTATTTGAAAATGCTTCTATAGGCTTCTTTACATACATACAAACTAGAAGAATTGTGTTGAATATTTGCAATTATAGTTATTATCTGTTTCAATACATTTATTTGCATAAATAACAAAACTTATTAAAACAACTTTGGAACTCTATTATGCTTTAGAAAAATCATTAGTATTAATTATATATAGTAAAAATTAAAAAGTATGTGGAAATAACATGGAAAAATATTATGACAGCAAGACTCGCAGGCATTTTAAATTCAAAATGGAATATAACAGTTTTGCAATGAATGACATTTTTATACTGTTATACTCAATGTCACTTAAATTTGAAGTATAATATGCAATGACATGATGAAGAACTAAAAAATATTGGATTTCTAAAATTAAATATATATTTCTTTGAACGAAAACTTTTTATATCAGTAAGCAATGATATATATCTATTTCTTAGTTCCCAAGTTAACACAATTGACTCGTATTATCCCATGTTCTCACTGCAGCTAAATCTATAAAGTATATTCAAATTAAAATTTGGTCGTTTCCATTGCAAAAAATTGATTTATGTATTAGAAAGAACTTTTATGTATCATTAGAGTTTTATAAGTGTTCTTGGAGAGCTTTTGTTTCTTTACATTTCAATTGTTAGCAGATTATAAAATATTTAGTTTAGTGTTAGCAGAAATTTATTAATTGCTCATGCAAACCGCAGAAAATACAAAAAATGTATGTATAATTTTTATTTATATAGTACAAACACCCTAAAAAAGTTCTTATCTCTTGTGTATTTGTCTTGACTTGTTTCTTGTTCATTAGCATTTTATTTAATGTGTCGAATATGTCAAATTCCGATCATATACTTTTTGGAAAATATATTTTGCAATGTTGCATTCGACATTTTTGGTGTAATTTCTTTTGATTTTTTCTTAACTAAATTGAAAAGCAGGAAAGCTCTAATTAATTTTATTAGTGACCTAAATCAACTAAACTGCTTTAATGAAGGCAATGGGAACATATAAGTTTTTTTAAACGATATTTTTTATTCTTAATAGAAATATATATATTATTTCACTGTAATTGTTAAACTCTATTTACATTTGTTGATTTTTTTTGTGTAATTTTCTCAATGTTGCTAAGCGTTCATGGTACCTATTGTTGTTTCGAAAGGAATTCTGAGAATATTTAATATAAATTAAAAATATTTTATGTATATAACCAAAATTTCATGAAGAAAAATTATATATTATAACATAAAAAAAATTATATATGAAAATATATATACAGAGCTTATGTTCGCTAGGTCTAAAATTAAATCTAAAATTAATAAAACTTATATTAATGGTGTATGTATTATTTGCATTAATTTTTAAATAATTATATTAACTGAATTAATCAAATGTCTTTGTTAAAATGATTTTTAAATTTTTTCTTTTATCCCCTTACTCTGTTCCGATAGACGACAAGGTTGAAGTATGTGATCAACGTGTGGCTGTGTGTCGCGATCATGCAAATGGTCAATGCAGACGTAAACAATGTAAATATTATCACATACCTATTGTGTTGCCACCGGCAAATGTCATGGCAGCCATTATACATAGCGGTAGCAACAATAATAACAACAACAACAATATAATAACAACCACCAGTAAAAACAGTCTTCTGCAATCGAATTCACCATACGAACAAATTGAACAGCAACAGCAAATACCACTGCAGCAACAACCGCAACATATAACAACAAATACAATGACAAAAGCTACAAATCCAACGGCAACAATCTCAACTAATTACAATAATAATTTAATCATAATCGAACCACATCAGCAGCAACAGCAACAACATTATCATTATGCGAATAACAGTCACATAGCACAGCATTATACGACAACAAAAACAATAGCAACAACACACAGCAATATTTACCCAACACAACAACATCAACATCCCCAACAACAACAATACCAATTACATACACATTCACATCATTCACCTTATTCACCCTCATCAGCCTCATCGTCATCGTCGTGTTCAATTGCCACTTCACCAACACTCTCATCGGCAACCACATTATCAACAACGTCAACCGCCACAATGCCGACACCGCATATAGCGGCATTAACGAGTAATTTTGCGCAACCAACATTTCTTAAGGCAGCGCCAGCAACAATTACAATAGCAACAGCACCACCCAACAGCCAGCAACCGCCAACAGCGTTCTATGATCTCTCAACACCAACAACACCAACACTTCTGTTAAGCAGCGATTACAATTCGAACTGTATACCAATTTTGACAACACCAGCAGTCACAGTACCGGCAACAGTACCAACGGCTTGCGCACCATTTATATACACTGCAACACCACATCAGCAGCAGCAACAACAACAACAACAACAACAACAACAACACCACCAGCAACACCAACAACAGCCGCAACAACATTTAATAAAATTCACACAGCAACCATATTTTCATTATCAACAGCCGAAAACGCATTTTCAGCAACAGCAGCAACAACAACAGCAACATCCACATCAATTTGTAGCCACCCAGCATGTTGCAGCGAATTTAAGTAGCGGTATCATTGCAGCAACTACTGCAACAGCTTCGTCGTCACCATCAATTTCGTCATCATCCACGCCGTCAGCACCGTCAACATCCATGTAATATCACATGACTGGTTACGTACAACAACAACAACAACAACAACAACATCAGCAACACAATTATTATTACACATAATTAACAAAATCAACTGCTTACACCATTAGCAAGCAACATGTTGACAATGATTGTGAAACATTTATAAATTAAGTGATCAACAATGTTGCGTGGCCCTCACGCAAAAGCATTGGACACAACAAAATATGTTTTTCTTTAATGTAAACGTAAGTTATATAATATATATTATTTTTTAAAAATATTTATGAAATAAAAACTTTAAAAAAAAAATAAAATATTATTATAAATAATACATAAAAAATATTTTACATAAGCAAATAATTAAATTTACTATATACACATATAACAAATAAATATATTGATAAAATAAATAAATAATTGTTAAATGTTTTAAATATTAAGCTAAGTATTATTAAGTACATATGAAGATATGAATGAAAGTAAACAGCAACAATAAGAAAAAAAATCAGCAACTAAACATCAACTATATAATCAACCAAAAATTAAATATTTTTATTTTTCAATTCTTATAACAAAATATCGAATCTTTTTTCGTGTTTTTTCTTATTTTTCATTTAGTTGCAGAAATAATTTTAATTAAGAGACATATAAATAAAAGAAAAGAAATGAAAAGAACATTATAAAGTACATAAGTATATGTTGTGAACTTATAAAGAAATATAGTGCATTTCAGTAATTTTTAGAAAAAATTTTGATTGAAGGTCTCTAGTATTAATTATGATGATCTATAAATTGAGAACTAAAATCAAAGGAGGTTGTAGTGGCATTTTAAGTAGCAATACATTTTTAGAAAAGTAAAGACTTGAAATTGTCTTTACTTATTTTCTTATTTTCTCTATTTATCTCACTCTCTCTTACTAAACACTAATTATAAATTCATTAAAAGAATTTTTTTAAATAATAATAATAAAATATTGTTCTTAACCGATTGCTAATTGAGTTGATTATTTTGAATTATTTCATTCAATTTTTACATATCTTAAAATGCAATATTTAAAGATTTACTTAATATAATCGAAGTATTTCAATAAGAACTTTGGTAAATTACAGGGAAACTTACCACACTATGATATATACCCCACACTCTAGCACATCTCAATACAGATTATACCAATATTTTTGTTTTTTTTTTTTTTGACAAGTAAGATCATTTGATTTATAGCTCAAAGATAAAAATAAGAATTAAGTACAAACACTTTCAGTGACAGTATTTCATACAAAAATAATATTCGAAGAGAATTTAGCTTCATTCCAAATTTCTAAATAATCTTTAGCACCTGTCATATTTCACTAAAAATTATATACCACACATAGATCTGTTATAAAAAATGTTTTGAAGTTGACTCTAACAATTACAATTAAAACAAAAAAAAACACTTGTTAAAAATATTTTAGCATAGCAACACAAAAATCTCAAATTTAACACTTAAAAATTTAAACACACAATTTCGTTGAGCATTATTCTCTGCGTCAACTGAATTAAACGAATATTCAACGAAACAATTTGAACAGCACTAGAAATACACTAACAGTAAGAAACTGTAAAGTTGTAGCTTAAAATTAATTAAAATATTTCAAACTCAGCGTAGCAATACTAAATCAAATAAACTCTGGCAATTAATAGTAAAATTAAAAAATTATAATGTTCTTTTACTATATACTTACTAAGATTATTTAAGATTTAGTGAGGCTACCTCAAAATTCGATAGTTGTTTACATTTCCACTTACAATAAATATGAAATTTAAGGTTGATGAATGATATACAAAAAAAAGCAAAATAACAACAAAAACAAATATAATAATATAATCAATAATTATTTAAATATTAAACACAAAATGTTTTTTAACGTTTAGCAAGACTTAAATTAAAAATAATATAATTATTATTATTATTTGATAGGTTAAAATTAAATTGTGTAAGAATTCAAAGTTAATGATCGCTGATGATGATCAACAATAATGTTTATATAGATGATAAATAAATCGAATAAAAGTTAATATATATATGAAAATCAACTACAACAAATATTATTAGTTATAAAGAGAGTTTTAAAACTAGTGTTCCAAAATTTCAAATTTAATATAAATATTTAAACAAAATGAAATGTTAAAAAATTAACAAATAGAAACAAAAATTTAAAACAAACAAAACAAAACAAAATATTAAATTCAATAAAATAGTTACGATAAACAAAAATATTTTTATTTTGAAACATTTAAGCAAAAATAAAACAAAATTTACAGCAGAATAAAGAAATAGTTGATTTATATACATGAATATATATGAAAAAGTACAGTCACGTCCTATTTTTGCAACAACGATTTATAACTTACAGCAAAAACAAAAAACAAATACAAGAAAATTCAAAAATTTAAAAAAAAATTAAAACAACATTCAAATATTTCTACAAAAAAGAAAAAAGAGAGGAAAATAAATAATTTAATATATTTCTTTTTTACATTTTATAAATAAATTTGGAAAAAAAAAATCTATAAACAAAATATGAAATATTTTTTTATGTAAAAACGAGTGGAATTTTTAAAATAATCAAACTAAACTAATAAGATTTTGCAACTAATAATAAATAAAATATTACAAATGAACTAGTTTGAAATAAAAATTTAGGTAACAAGTAAAATGATATATTTAAAAACATAAAAAACTTAACTCTTCCTAATTAAAATAAAAAAATAAAAGGTTATATATATTTATATACATTATTAATTATTTGTTTTATTTTATAATAACACAATTCTAATAGTTTTAAATTGTTTCTTTGAACTTGCAAAATAGTTTATTTTTATTCTATACGTCATTTTTATTCTTTAAGAATTAAGATACAAAACAAAATATTTATGTATAACAAAAAAAACATGTTATTAAACTTAAATAAAATGAATCATTACACACACACATACACACACTCGATATATACATATATATAAGTATTTTATGTAAATAACTTAAAAGAATTTGATTGCATATATGTATAATATATATTTATATGTATATGGGTAAATAATGAAGAATAATTAATTTATGATAATTATAAAAATATTAAAAACTTAATGAAATGTGATCTTTTAAAGCAAATTCAAAACTTATTTTATTTAATTATTAAAAAAAAAACTAAGTTTATGTAAAACTCAAAATTATTGTAAAATATTAGTATATTTGTGTAAAACAATGCATGTACGCATATTAATCGTGTATTTATTTAAGGACTGGTTATAATTAACGGAAAGCAAGGTGTTTAAATTTTTTTCTATCTTTTTTTTTTATTTAACAAATAGAATTTTGTAATCCAAGATTTTCAATTTTCCAATTATCTTATTTTTCCAAATACAATGAATACTACTCATCCAATCCAGTCCCTTTCAAATATTAGAATTGGTTTTGTGCTATTATGTGAAAACTATTATAAAAAATATGTTTGAAACAATAAATATATAAGATAAAGATAATTAATTTTTTGATAAATTTTTGTTTTAATACAAAATTCAAACAACACGAATAAATAATTTCTAATCATAAATATATATGAGTAAAGAATTACAAACTCTTGATGTGGCTAATAACTAAGTTTACACTGACGTTATCCTTTTTTCTATTATTATTACTCATATATTCATATATTCTGATACATATATTTTTCTTTTAATAAGCTTAGTACTATTATATTTATATCTTAACTGCAGTTTAAATATTTTTATCCTTTAGCTTCCAATCCATTTCAAATTCTTTTTATTTTTAAAAAATATTTTTCATATATATTTTATAATTTTTTATAAATATTTTCGTTTTATAACAATCTAATATCTCTTAAATGTTCGTTATTATTAATCTAACACAACTCTCACTAATACACGTACTCTTGTTCTTCTCTAAATGCCATTCGCCAGGCATTACAATTTTCAAAAAACTTTACTACCAATTTTCATATAAACTAGTAAAACCATTAGTATATTAAATAATCCACAATTGAACTTTTTAACTTTAGACTCTATCAATTACATTTTGAAATAGTATAATTACACAAAACAAAATGCCTATATAAGTTTCCGTCCATTATAAACAGACCTTAAATTTATATGCATGCAAATATACAATATATAAAATATAAGTAAATCAGTTAATATATTTATTACAAGAACAAAATATAATATTACCAATTAAATTTAAACTATTAAAAAATTAGAAACATAAATCAACACCTTTAAATGTGTAAAAAACACACACACAACTACTATTATAGCAAACTACACACACTGACATTTTAACAGTTACTATTAATTTTTACTTAAGTAAATTTATAAATAAACTTTACAACAGAAAAATATAAAATTAAATTTAAAAAAATACTAAAAAAAAAATTAATAATTAAAAAGCATATTGATAAAAGTTTTATGTAAAAATTATTATGAATATTATAAATAGAAAAAAACATGTTCTAAAACTAGGATATAAGCAAAATACATTATATACATTGATGAAATAGTAAAAAAAATATTTCAATTTTTAAAATAATTTTTTTAAGTAATTTTTATATTTAAATTAAGTATATCAAAAAATAAGTTTTAAAATTTATTTACACAAAGCAAAGATTGCAAAGGTGGTGAAATACAGCGAATAGAAAAATCTCGAGAGTTTGAAAGGCGCTATGGTGAATTAATGAACTACATGGACATTTCCAATTAATATTCAACTATCGTATATAAATTGTCTTGGACAGCAATTAAAATGATCAAATTTATTAAATAAAAGTTTTTCTTGAGTTCAGCGACATTTTAATTTTCTAAGGAATGAAATGTAAAAACGATTATAGATTGATAAAGATGACCGAATCTAAAACTGAGCGTATTTAAAAAAATTTTACACAGTATACCAGCAAAAATATCAATATATATATATAGATCGTCTGTAACGATACTTTCTTACATAAACGTGAAGATAAGAATAATGTATGGAAATAGTGTAATTTATAGGAACGTTTACAAAAAGTCTCAAAAATAATTAGAAAAAAGTCCCCACATGAGATACGTATCAGATAAATGGGTGCAACTCTTACAAACTAAGAATTAGATTTCTAATTCGATGACTTTATTATTTACACCCATCACAAAATCCTAAATCAAGAAATATCTATTTATAGATAGAAGTTATTAATCTATATAGAACGTTGTGCTCTAAATTTTCAAAAATATC